TATAAAAGATGAGGTTCATATATATTCTCTTTAAAAATAGTTGACGACGTGACGTTGCGAGTTCAGTATTAGAATGTTATCATAATAGAATTTATTTTCAAATTGAATAAAAATAGATTAATTAATTAATATTGAAGTTAAAAAGATAATTTATTTCTTGGTGAACCTATAATTAGAAGTTTATTATCCGTTGGTTCATCAAAAGTTCATGAAAACAATATCATGCTGTAAGGTCAACCTAGCGTTTTCTAAGTTGACATTAATGAAAGTCTCTTGGAGCGATTCTTCTTGCACAAGGTCTTGTTAAGAAAATCTATAGCTTTTATAAATAGTTAAAATCATTTATATTAATATACTATTCTTTTTATAAGTCAGTTAAACTATCAAATTATGAATTTATAATTTCGCTTTATATATACAAAACTTGTGTTCAGAAAAGCAATGAAATTCACCATTAACTTTTCTTAGTTAAAGCGTTTAAAAAATCTGCTTGGTTTTGTTCTCAACAACTTAAAAAACAAAAAACTGTTTTTAAAGATATATAAAAGACAATTACTTAAAAAATAATAATTTTTTATTAATTGAATTCTTAAAATTATTATCCAAATAGATTTTTGTAACAGTTCTTAAAAAAAATTGAACCAAACAAAAGTTTTATTTATTTATTTATTTTTCCCTCCTTTTTTGTGGGCAAAAGAGTACTTTTATATGGGCTGCAACTCGGACGGGTTGAGCTGGTTGAAGGACTAGCTTAAGCCCAAACCGACATATAAAATGTTTAACACAAGTCTAACCCTGACCCTATCTATTCAACCCGAGTCCAACCCATCCTTCTATTTTAAACTCGAGTTTAAACTCGGGCATTGATTTCGAGTTTGAGAGTCGAGTTAATTTGGGTCAGCCATATGGCCAATTTTATTAAATTACTCTTAAACAAAAATAAAATATAATATAATAAGAACCAATTGAATTTTTTTAATAATACTAACAAATACTTATAAAAGTAATTCTACTAAATACTAATATACAATAAATTAAGATTTAACAATGGAAGTTGAAAAGAAAATTGTGATAATAATTTGAAGCGTATATATAATGCATTTAAAGTTAAAAAATAAATATAAATAATATTAGAATTCAGGTTTGGATTTGTCCGGGTTACTAGCACCTCAACCAAACCCCAACCCCAATCCTAATTAAGTTCAGATTGATATTGTCTAAACTCGTAAAAAATCGAACTGGGTTCAGTTGCCCAACTCAAGTTGCAACCCTACTTCTATATAAACTAGGGTATGCGCTTTTATGTTGTACGCATATGCAACATACTCCTCTGTACATGTTTGGAAGATGCAACCAATTAATCGAGGGGGTAAAATATTGGCGTTGCATCCGGATTGGTCATATTGCAACTTTAATTTAGTTGTTTTGCATGCTCAAATAAGTGGCACATGAAAACCTATTGCAACTCTGATTCAGTTGTACTACATCCTCGAAATATATAATTGTGCTTTATTTTTGAAATAAATTGTATTGCATGCTCGAAATTAATATTTTGTCGCATGTTAGAATCAAGTTATTGCATGCATTATAATACCGTGCTTGTTGTGCAAGAGTGGAGTCAGAAATTATGTTCAAGGGGTACAATGTAAAAATAAAAAATAAAAAAATTGAGAGGAATAATTTTAAAATTTCAAAGAATCATACATACAAAAATATAATTTTTATAAAAGTTTTGGGAGCATTTTTTAAATTTTACAAAATTATACATACAAAATGAAATTTTTAAAAGTTGAGGGGGCAATTTTAAATTTAAAATATATATATATATACAAAAATTTAATTTTTAAATAGTTGAAGGGCACCCTCCGGAGTACCTCCATTGCTAAAGTTGTGTATACTTGAGGATCTCAACACAAATATTTATACCATAATAAGCCTACATCCTTTACTGTACTTGTTTTGTGATATGCCTAATTTCAACATGCAACATAATATTTCTAGAATATTGTTGCATCCTCTGTTAACTGTATTTGAACTTCAGTTTAATTAGTACGTTACATTCTCGAAATATTAATGGTGGTGTTAGCTTCAATTTGGTTGTGTTGCATTCTTGGAATTACTGTGTTCAATTCTAAAAATATTTTTCTTTAAGATGTTTAAATACGCTCACGACAAAGGGTCTCGTGTACAACGAACACATGATGATCTTATCAGATTCTATCTACTGACAGCTGAAAATGTAGTGAATTGACGAAACAGTCCTCTGTTGAATTGATGACGTTGCGAATCACAGCTGGATTGAAGCCGTTCGATTATTTTTAAGTCAAATGGGTGGAGCTCACATTGCCGCTCATCCACTCATCATCTCAGGAGCCGTCCGATTATTTTTAAGTCAAAGCAGTAGGAAGACTAGCTCTGCCACTTATCCAACCAAAATCTAACATCAGAAAATCCAAGAATTAACTATGGCCATTGCTGCCTTTGATAGATATAAGTAATTTACTGTGACAGCTTTAATGTTTTTGGTAAGTTTTATTTTTCTTTTTAACTAAAAAATAGTAATAACTTATGGGCATGAAAATTTGATCCCTCAACTTCCTTTTTTTTTTTCTTTTTTTTTTTTTTTTTTAAGCAAGAAACTGACGCAGTTATTTCCTTACTAGAATTTTCTTACCCCTCATTTTAAAAGATTAAAAATATATTACTGAAATACGGTTCTTGAAAATTTACTTTCATTTTAAGAAGTATAAGAGATAACATTAAATAAATATTATAGGTTTTAATATTCAAGATATATTTTATAAAACCAACTAGACAAACTAGACTACCTACCGGACCTCGTGGATAAAAAAATATAATTCCGATCATTAATGGTTTTAAAATACTAACTTTACTTCATGTGATTATTGATTAATAGTATTTTTATTACTACGTAGTTGAAATTTGATTTTTTTTTTTAGAAAACTTAATTACTAATCTTTAGAATAAAAAATTCCATTATGTATATATATGAATATACTATTTTTCCCCTGAAAATTAAATGTATGATATGGTATCATTAGTTAAATCAACATTCTTTTGTAAATTGTGGGATGACACTAAATTTTAAAAATGATATGTTCACAATACTTACATGAAAATAATTTTGGGCAAAAGAGAGGTTGAAACTGTCAGGATGCTCTGATGGAGTTGCTCATGACACAGTAGCATTTTAGCAGCACTTCCTTTAGGGTGTGTTTGGATAAATAGGGGAGAAAAGAAAAGAAATGATAGTATTAGTTAGGAGAGAAAAGAAAAGAAAGGATAATAATAATTTCTATTCGTATTTGGATAAATAAGGGAGAATTCGGATAAGATAGAGGAGAGAAAAGAAAAGAAAGTATAGTGATCAAATTACTATCTTGCCCTTTATAATAGTCATCACCTTACACCTTTTTTCTTTTTCTTTTTAGATTGGAAGTAGAGTTAAATGTCTTACCCATATGCATAGGTTAAATGTCTCTATCCAAATTTTACATTCCTATGGTGAAGTGATAATTAACTTTTTATTTTTTTATTTTTTTTATTTTTTTTATGAGGCCTGTCCACAAACAACAAAAAGCAAAATAAATGAAAGCTTTGAATTGACTTGAATGCATAGTTCAAGTTAACAATTTAGTGTGTACATAATGCTTAACAGAGACTAAGACTACTCAACAATTGGGACATAAATGGAATTACATAATTGGGACATAAATGGAATTACATTTTTGTATGTGGATTTGTGAAGGGTATTTTGGGTATTAAAAATGTACAACTTACTATCCCTCCCTATCTCTCCCTATCCTCTCTACTTAAACTATCCAAACACACGGTCACACCATCCTCTCTTTTCTTTTCTTTTCTCTCTTTATCCCTCCAAATCAACCCTACCAAACCACCCTTAGGCTTGTGTTTAGTTGCTTGAATTTGGAGTTTTGTAATTGTAATTGGTGAAATTGAAAAAAAAAAATTTAGTTCAATTTTTTGAGTTATTTTTATTTCTCTTCCTTTTTTATTTTTATTTTATTATTAATTAAAATAAAAAATTGACGGTTGAGTAAATGTGTAAACTATAAGATATTACCATATCCTAGAAACTCTCAAGAACAATGAAATATATCAGGTTTGATGACATCTAAGGGCCAATTTGGCATGGGACGTTATGTTTTTAATTAATATCAAAACAACCATTTTGTTGTAGGAGTGTTTTAGGTAGAAATTGGAATTATATTTGGTAACCAAAATTTATTTTGAAAAATTCATAAATTTGCTTTAGTTCCTTCACTCTAGTACCAAAACACACAATGTCACCAATTTGATGATCTGGGGTTTGGCCAAAAAATCTAATATATTATAAACTATTTCAAACCAAAATCAACAGTTCCAAACTTGACATGTGTTCAAATTTAAAGACCAATATCATAAAAATAATATTATAACACATTCCAAGCAATCCCTATATCAAATTGTTATCTATCTTATCTGGTTATGGATTATAACTTTGAATTCAAAATTTGTTAATTCAAATTGATATCTTCTTTGGATTATCTATCATGAATTTGAGTAAAAATTAACAGAATATTAGTTTTAAGTTTTAATATATAAATTATACAATATACCCACAAGACTTTAATCGGATCTAGACTCACAAATGGAACAAAAATAGCAATATGTGGACCTGTACTCCAATTTATATGATTGAATCAACTGTATCTTATATCATATACTTGCACTGCACAATTTATTTTTCAAAAAACACTTGCACACACTCAAATTTTTTAAAAAGTAACCATGATATTTTCTACACTTAAAAAAACATCAAGTAGAATACGACAGCCACGACATGTTGTTTTTGTGAGATTATAACCGCAACCAAACAGACAGTCTCACCTTCTTTCACAGCACGCAGAGTCGTACACTTTTAAACCGTGGTTAAAGTTAAACCATCCCAATATATATGATGCCCTCTCAGTCCTTCCCTCTATTTGTCTCTGCCGCTCACTTCTTTTGAGTTTCTCCCCTCTCGAGTCTCGTGTATATAGAGAGAGAAACTAATATACAAAGACAGAGCCAGAGTATTATATATCTACACACAAGCGAAGTCAGAGAACACAGTCTCAGTTCTCGCCTCGCCGGAAATGACGGTGTTTGGCCACTCAGGAGGCGGCGGTTTTCTCGCCGGAAAACAGGTGTTTCCGGTGGACTGTGAAGCTGAGGTCTCTCAGCGACTCCTTGAAGCTTCCCACTGCAACGATCTCAAATCGGCATTCGAATGCATTGCCGATCCGTTCGTCGACGTCAACATCATCGGCGCTGTGTGCTTGAAGATTCGGAAGTCGGAGGTGTTGTGTCACGACGAATCGGCAAATGAAGCTAGAGTCGAGTATGAGGAGTTCAGGACTGATGTCACGCCTTTGTTCCTCGCTGTTCATGCTGGAAATGTGACGCTCGTCAGGAAGCTACTGGTAATGTGATTCTACTTTGATTGCTAGGCTATAACGATCCGATCAATTTCGTTTGTGTTTAGATTTAAGCTATTTGTATGGTACAGTTAGATTCTACTGGTTTTGAAGCCCTTGATATGTGCTTTATACTTGTATATGACTGTTTGTTGTGCTCGTTTACATTCTTGTTTTATTTTCAATTTTTGATTCATCGATTGATACTGTAATCTGTTGAAATCGGAACATGACACGCACTCTCTCTCGTTTGCTGCATTTTGGCTTACCGAATCTCAGCTCTTTTCCAATCGCCATCACTCTATCTAGTAAATGTCCTTACTCAAAATTTCAAAATTTGAAACTAGGTGCTTTAATGTGTGTGCCTATGTTCTTTTTTTTTTTTTTTTTTTTTTTTTTTGGTTTCCTTTTTACTTTTTAAATTTCTTATACAATTTCTTTTCTTTTCTTTTCTTTTTTTTTTTTTTTTTTTTTTTTTTTTTTCAAAATAAGCTTCATATTACTTTTTTTTTTTTTTTTAAAGTAAAATAAACTTCTTATTACTGTTTTCATTGCCTATTTAATTGCTATGATTTGCTCGACCAGTATGCAATTAAGTGTCTTACTTCGGTTGTATAATTGCGTTCTCACAATGAGTTTTTTATTTTTTTTATTATTTTTTTATTATTTTTTAAAGCTTTTATTTCTTAGTCCCTCTAAAATTTTGATTTTCGAAATAATCTGCAGTTATTTGTTTTAATACTGCAATTTGATGGCTTGGGATATTACTGTTTTCATTAGCCTCTTAATTCTTGTTATATATTCCATCTAGGATAATGGGAGCTTTTGAATCATGAGAAGTGCTTTCCTGGTCATAACCCCCAATCCAAATTACCATGTCCCTGCACCTCACTGTAACAGAGTAGGAGGAGATACCCACCCAAGCTAAGAATCCCTGTTTTTAGCAGTTTTGTTCTTTCTGATTTGGATAAAACAATTCGACTTTCCACCAATCTGTTGTCTGCATGATTACTGAGATTTTATGGATCACGGATTTGTTACCAAAAGATAAAAAGGGATCTGTTAATCTTAGTTATATATTTGCTTCAGGACAATGAGGATCTTTGAATCCTGAAAAGTGAAGGTTTTAAGTACCACTGACTTTAATTCGAAGTTAAAGTTCTCTATTCCTCTTCTTTGAAGTTGATAGTCTTTTCTTTTTCATTCATGCAGTCGCATGGTTAAGGTTGATGTTCTCTTTAAAGCCAAGATTCGAAGATGATTTGTGAGATTAGGAGTTTTTCAACTTTAAATTGGACTCTTAAATATTTCGGAGATTTAACGCGAGTAGCGTCTAAATATTCTGAAGACCTACTTTCAAAATCAATCATACATGTTTTTCACATTACTTGAGAAATGAATGTTTATCATTCAGTTAAAAAAAAAAAAAAAAAAAAAATTGTAATCCAAAAATCAGATCATCACCATTGTTTCTTGTCAAATTTCATTTTATATGTTCATAAACCTTGAAACCACATTATTATTTATTGATTTCTTGCTAAACTAATTGACTTTCAAAGATTAGCAGCATGGCATTTGGGAAGGTAGCATATGAGGTTTCAAGGAAGAAAAATATGAAAAATAAATAAATAAGATAAGCTATTTTTATATTTGCATTTGGGTCGGCAAGGCCCATTTGGAGTTGTCCGATAACCATTGACCAGGTCCTGAAGGAGTAAATAGCAGCACAAGTACATGATACATTCCCCCTCTTCTTGTTATTAATGATCTCTCGTGTGCTGCTTGTTGAAAGTTCCATGCCGCATTGTCTGTCACATCGCTTCTGTTCCCCCTTTTTGTCTGTTTGTGGCCATGAGCACTTGTAACTCATGAAGAATCCAATATACTTTATGTGGTACTAGCTGTGTATTCTTCGTATGCATTAAGATTTTTAAAGAATAGAAAAAAATTGAGAATCATGTCTTCTTGTGAAGGTCTTTTCATCATCCTTGCAAATTGCAATGTACTGAAGATTGGTACTTTTTTCAAAATGACAGTGCGTTGGAGCCGATGTGAACCAGAAACTCTTCAGAGGCTTCGCGACAACAGCAGCAGTGAGGGAGGGCCACCTTGAGATTTTGGAAATCTTGATTAAAGCTGGAGCTTCTCAAGCTGCTTGCGAGGAGGCTCTGTTAGAAGCTAGCTGTCATGGGCATGCAAGACTTGCGGAGCTGCTCATGGGATCCGATTTGATTCGGCCCCATGTTGCTGTGCATTCTCTTGTCACTGCATGTTGCAGAGGGTTCGTGGATGTGGTGGATGCTCTCATGAAGGTAAAATGATCATTTTTTTCCCTGGCCATGGTAAAACATCATATTCAAACAAGGTTGGGTGTTTAAGTTTTAACTCTCATGGTAATTGCATACAATTTGGGCTAGTTAAAAGTTATTCCTCTCTGGACAGACATTTAACCACCTGTCAACAGTTGAATTGCCCAAACTTGCTCATACTTTCTTCAGAATATGGTTATAGTGTGTGGAGCTGAGTGCCTTTTGGGATCTAAATTTGTTATTGTTATGCATTTAATAGTACACCATCTAGGCTACCAGTAATTATCTTGAATGTCTTGCTCCATGATCTACGTCTTGCTTACAATTTGCTTTACTTAATGGCAGTGTGGAGTGGATGTGAATGCAACTGATCGGATGCTGCTTCGATCATCTAAACCTTCTCTGCATACAAATGTTGACTGTACTGCTCTTATTGCTGCAGTCGTTAGCAAGCAGGTCACTGTTGTCCGTCTACTAATACAGGTGTGCTTCTTATCTTTAATTTGGATGATAACAGTTCACAAGAGTTAGAAGATAAGGGGTTTGAAATGAATTGTCCTTTTTATCTTAAGTGAAAGGCACAAATACCAAAGTACAATCACTGAAAATAAATAAATTCATAGTATTAATGAAAGAGATTCGGAAGGAAATGAACCATATCTTGGCTCTGTATAGCAAATGGGTGGCCCATCCTTGTCCTTGGTGTAACAACTATAAAACAGCTGGATTGTACCTTGGGATGATATTTCCCTGGTGATGATTCAATGTACTGCATGAGAATCTCAACAGAAACTTTATCATCTCGTTGACACACTGAATTGTGTACTGTTGACCAAGTCTTGGCTTCAAGAGTGATAATTGATAAATATCTTGCTGTTAGTTTCTATAGATGAGATAAAAGTTAACATTACTAACAACCCTCTTTTGGCTTTATCCTGAAATGGAAAAAAAACAAAGGCTGGTGCCAGAACAGACATCAAAGTGCCACTGGGAGCATGGTCGTGGGATATGGCTTCAGGTGAAGAGTTCCGAGTGGGTGCCGGACTGGCGGAGCCCTATGCCATCACCTGGTGTGCAGTGGAGTACTTTGAATTCAGTGGTGCCATCTTAAGCATGCTCCTCCAACATCTACCCCTTGACACAACTCATTGCGGAAGAACCCTCCTCCACCATGCCATCCTCTGCGGTAATACAAGTGCCATCAATGTGCTCTTGAATTGTGGTGCTGATATAGAATCCCCCATTAAAACATCCGGGACAATTGAGTTCCGTCCAATACACATGGCTGCACGTCTTGGATTCTCAACAATCCTTCAATGCCTAATTGACTTTGGCTGTGATCTAAACTCAAGGACAGATACCGGTGAGACAGCTTTGATGATATGTGCAAAATATAAGCGAGAAGAGTGTCTCACAGTATTGACCAGAGCTGGTGCTGATTTTGGCTTGGTCAATGTAGCTGGCCAGTCTGCAATTTCTATTGCTGGGTCGAACCAATGGTCCCTTGGGTTTCAACAAGCTGTCTTAGATCTAATTAGAGCTGGAAAGGTTCCCAACTCCAGCAATGTTTCTGTTTTTACTCCTCTATTATTCGTAGCTCGATCAGGTGATATTCAAGGCTTGAAAGCTCTGATTGCAAGGACAGGAATTGATCTTGATTATCAGGATGACACAGGTTTTTCAGCAATAATGATTACTGCAATGGAAGGTTGTGTTGAAGCATTTCGGTTGCTTGTCTATGCAGGGGCTGATGTAAAGCTGTCTAACAAATCTGGTGAGACTGCCATTACCCTGTCCAAATTAAATCAGAACCGTGACCTATTTGAGAAGGTAATGCTTGAATTTGCCCTTGAAAAGGGTGATCGAAATGCTGGATGGTTTTATGCCCTACATTGTGCAGCTCGTCGTGGAGACATGGATGCAGTTAAACTGTTGACTACAAGGGGTTATGATGTAAACGTCCCTGATGGTGATGGCTACACACCACTCATGTTGGCAGCTAGGGAAGGGCATGGACGTATGTGCGAGATTTTGATCTCGTGTGGAGCATGTTGTGACATAAAAAATGTGAAGGGTGAAACTGCACTCTCACTTGCTAGGAAGGAAGGTGGCATGCAAAATGATGCAGAACGTGTGATACTGGATGAGCTTGCTCGCAAGCTGGTATTAGGTGGTTCGCATGTGCAGAAGCACACCAAAGGCGGGAAAGGAGCTCCTCATGGGAAAGTTATTAAAATGATGGAGGCTAGAGGATTGTTGCGGTGGGGTAAATCAAGCCGGAGAAATGTGAGATGCAGAGAGGCTGAAGTGGGGCCGAGCTCAAGCTTCCAGCGACTTAGACAGAGGAAGGGTGATGCTGCTGGACCTGGAGTGTTTCGGGTGATGACAACGAAAAACAAAGAAGTGCATTTTGTGTGTGAGGGTGGACATGAAATGGCAGAGCTGTGGGTCAGAGGAATAAAACTTGTCACAAGGGAGGCCTTGTTTGATAAGAAGCAGAGAGATACATGAACGGAAAGGCTGTCTAGTTATCGTGTATAGGTGGTGTTCAGCAAAATACTTCATCTTGAAGTATTTGCAACTGTCTCTTTCTCATTGTAAAGGTTTTGTTTTCCTGAGCTGTAAATGCATTTTGAAGATGGAAGGGGCAAAAGTCTTTGAAATTTGTTCAATATGTAGGTATGAGTAAGGATCTTGGAGAGGGTCTTGAACTTAATCAAAGGTGGAGATTTTATCATCAGGTGATAAGAATGGACCATTATAGGTGGTTCAATCTCCACCTTCGATAGTAGCACAGAACCCTCCCCAACACTGGACTTATAGGTGATGAGAGTGGACCATTATACCGGCATGCAAGTATTGCTAGTTCAGTCTTCTTCCAAACTTGTTTTGCGAATTCTAACCCGGCCTCCCGATTTAGCACTCATCCTTTCCAAACACTTGTACAATATAGCCAAAGCTGCTCCAGCAAATTCAAGGACACCTCACACTAAACAGACAAGTTTGGAACAAACGACTAACGCCTCATTACCAAATAGTGTAAAGTTAGAATTGTGATAGATCCTTCTTGCAAATGTTGAATCTTCATAGCATCCTCAGAACATTGATTCACCACATTTAACTTATTAGAATCTAAAGTTGTTAAGTTTCAAAGAAAAGTTTTACAGACAACAATCAGATATAGAAATTTTCACCTATGGAATGCCAAGTGCAAATCTATTATTACTATTATTATTATTATTTTTTTAAAAAAAAAAAAAGAAAAAAAAGAAAGAAAGAGGAAGACTATGAAATTGCATGAGAAATAAGGAATACCACCAATAGTGTCTCGTTGCTGAGCCTTTCAGATATTCAAATCTTCATATCAGCACAAAAATATTGTTGCAGAGCATTCGGATGCGCTCGCAGATGGAGAGAGTACCGCACGTCTTACTTGATAAACACAAGAAGGAATTAGGAAGCAATGATGATGGCTGTACAGTAAGTCAATTAACCAACTAAACAGGGTCGGACTTTCCAAATCAGTCCCGATATCGCCATATGGCAACTGAGGGAGTAAATATTGGGTGAGCCGGTCTGTCATTATATATTTATCTAAAATATTATCATAATATTAATAATTTTACAAATAGTTGGGTTAACTTTTTTTTGAAATGTTGCATTATCATTGAGTGTCTATACCAATGAGGCGTAGAAGAAGAAAAATTTTATTGCGCCCGTTGTACCGTACAACAGGCGTATTCAACCATTCATTATCGGCGTGTGTTATACATGCGTGAAAGTTTTTCTCGTGTGGAAAGCGCACACAATAAATATAGAATTATATCACAGTGTACGATTCGATTTAATTGTTGTAGGATTTAATATAATTGTTTTGAAATAAGAGTAAATTATACTGACCTCCCGTGAAGTTTGGATAAATTACACACTGTGAAGCATTTGGCTTTTACTATTTTGACATTTTTCTGAAATTTGGTGCATATGTTCAACAACACCCCGTCATTAATTAAAATTCAAAAAATGACTAAGTTACGATTTCCTTATATTAAAAGACCTTAATCACCTTATATTTTGATACGAAATGACAAAACTATCATAAAATGCCATTAAAATGCAAGATATCAATTTTCATACCAAATTTATATTATTAAATTTTACAAAAATAATTTTTTTTGGAATGACATTTGATTAGGTTTTTTTTTTTCAAAAAAATAAAAATAAATAGGGTAATATAGTGTTTAGGAGAAAGGAAAAAAATAATAGAGTCTTTTGATTTGGCATTATTTTTAAAAAAATTATTATTAAATTAAGGGCAAAGCCCCTCGACTATTCGCGTTTTGCAATAAAACCCCCTTAACTAATTTTTTGCCAAAAAACCCCCTCAACTATCCGAGGGGGTAACAAAGTGGATGGAAAATATTTTTGAGACAAAAATTGTGACGGCCCTGGTTTTTCAAGTCAGTGCGTCATGTGATGAACCGAAGTTTGACCCAATAACGGATACGATTGCGGAAGCGAAAATAGAAATCAAGTCTCTAGAGATGCATTACGCCAAAGTGACCTTTCATGAGGCTACGAAACTAAACAAGAACTAACGTGGAAGAAAAAGATCAGAAAAGACCAAATAAGCCATCAAGGGCAAAATGGTCTCTTTACATGGAAACATCTCTAGAAATGTACATCATTCCTAAAACACAATCATGACTTCTCATGAAGCTACGGAAACAAAAAGAGAACAAGTGGAAGCGACGTTTTAAAAACGGACAAGTTTAGCCCCAAGGGCAAAATGGTAATTTATAGCAAGATTTGGGTGTTACCGAGCACACCATTGGAAAGACGACAAAAAAATAATGAGCTTAGACTCAAGAATCACTTTATTCGGAGTCTGAATGGAAGAGAAAAGTCGAAACAAAGTTTTGACGTCGTCGCGGCCGTGAATAGTATTTTGACAACAGTAAATAGTGCTGGGCAGAAGAATGCTGAAATTGTGTGCCGTTTTGAGGCACTAAACGACGTTTTTTGGAAAAACACGAAGAAGAAACCCCTCTTAAAATAATTTTTCCAAGCTGACCATGTTGGAAGAAATTTTTTTTTTTTTTTATTACGTGAAATCCCCAAAATGCACTTATAACAGACTTTTTCTAAAAATGCATGCGCGTACAAGAAAATCAGATTTAATGCAGGGTTTTCAAGATTGAGACGACATTTTCTGGAAAAATGTTGTGAAGAAACCCCCCTAAAATTACGTTTTCTACATAACCATGTCAAGATCGGAATTTATTTTTCAAAAGAAATTTCAAAAATACCCCTAAATCAGTTTAGGTCAAAAATGATAAAAAAAAAAAAAGAATAAATAAATAAACAACTTTGAACCAAGTGTTCATTTGACCCTAAATGGTGTTATGTGCTAAAACAAACATGCACGCAAACGTAATTAGTGCTTTTAAGCGCGCAGGAATGGTCCGCAGCTCCCAAAAATGCCCGATGCAAAATACCACATATCCATACCTCAAAATGTAAAGAAAATGCTTTAAATGGAAAACTTGAGACCAAGAAGCATCCATTTCATACAAATGTGATATTTTGTGCAAGGTGAGTATTCACGCAAACGTAATATACATATTTACACGCGTTTCAATAGGCCTCAATGGTCGCTAAACACAAAATATCACCTATTAAACCTTAAATTTTGCCTAAAATGGCTTTTAAAAGAGAAACTTGAAACTAAAAAAAATATCAAATGGTTTCAAAGGACCGTTTGGCCCTTGGCCATGCATAAATCAAGAGACCATATGGAAGTGCTAAAGCCCACTTCCCACCACCCATGTAAATGTAGTGAAGTTAAAGCATGCCATTTTTCTATTTTTCAATAAAATAGTTTGAAAGTAAAAATAATTAGAATACAAAATAAAGGTACTTGGCCCATGACCTCATTACATACATGTCAAATACATCTCAAAATGTGTACTTATGTACACATTACATATTTAGAACCAAATATACAAGTTTTGACATTTTAAACTAAAAATAAGATTTCATGCTAACAATTGTATGAATTAAATACTTCAAGTCTACAAAACATCCAAGGCATAGTATGAATCTCAAATCATGATTTCCTGTACCTGAAACAAGTCGCATTCAGTGGGGTGAGTAACTTGTATTACTCATAGGGAATGAGCATGCATAGACCTAACGTTTTACACGATTATTACATTAATGTGAAGCAATTCAAAAGGTTCATGTCATTTAACGTTTATGTCAAAAATGAGACTCAAAGATCATCATAAGCTACTTTAAAGCATTTCTAGCATAAACCTCAATATTTATGCAAGTGAACGACATAGAAGCATACAGGATAACACAACAATACATAGGTTATCAAAGTTATCAACTTGTAACCTAAAATGCAAAAACAACTAAGACGGTTCATGCCACCTAACATCTAAGTTCCAAATGAGTCTAAGAAATCATCCTAGGCAACATTAGAACAATTAAAATACAAATTACAATTTCAATGCAATTTAATTAACATTGGAATTTCCAAAACAACGCAACAAAATATAGATTATCAATATTATAAACTTGAAATCTAAAGTGCGAAAACAACTAAGTATAACAATTAAGTATAATTAGAACATCTAATACAACACATCAAGACATAGATTATCAAAGTTTTCCATTTGAAATCTAAAATGTGGAAAACAACTAAATATAACAATTTAGTATCATTAGAATATCTAATACAACGCATCAAGACATAGATTATCAAAGTTATCAACTTAAAATCTAAAATGCGGAAAACAACTAAATATAATAATTTAGTATCATTAGAATATCTAATATAACGCATCAAGACATAGATTATCAAAGTTATCAACTTGAAATCTAAAATGCGGAAACAACAAGTTATAACAATTTAGTGCTATTAACTTGTAATGAAATTTGAAATAAAAAAAGGTGGATACTCGAACATCGATCGGATCAGACCGACATGGGGCTACTTTTGGGCTACTAACCCATGGGTAGCCTACCCTGCGTGCCCACTAGACTAATAAGGGAGCTCTCATCCCCTGTAACACCCCCACATTTTCCACGCATAAGTTGATCAGGCTTATACACGAAAAACGAGGGATATCAAAAACAATTGGCAATATACAAGCATGGAATACAAAATGATGGAAATAAAAGGATTTAGACAGGAAAGAAACATTAAATAATACAACATCCATCCATCCTTTATTTAATGCAGTACTTCATTACAACTTGGAAATCCTACGTCAGGGATCCCTAAATATAACCCTGAGAGTTCAACGTCAAAAGTAAATAAAAACTGAAACTGAAGTATTACATAAAACTTCTACCCTGCACTGGATCGTAAGAGTAGATGAGTTCGGATGATGGTCCCACACTGCTAACCTCAGCCTTGAAGCGGATACTGACCGTATCTTGAAATAACAACAATGGTGGGTCAACCCCACGAGCAAGTCCTCTCTACTATGACCCAAATCAGAGAATCAAATAAATTAATCATTATAAATCGGATGAGTACTATATCTGTATACATCCTATGGGAACTATCCGATGTATAACATGACCTCAACCAGAATAGACGGTGATCACTTAGACTCACACTAGGTGGTTAAGTGTCGCCTTTCCCTACCCGGGAAATCAGCTATTATACATGGTGCACGGTACTGACAACACAGACTATAACGAACTACGCAGTGCTAACACCTCGCAAAGTACTGATGAATATACTGAGCATATAAATTAGGCAACACATGCCAACAATATTAATAAATATACCGAGAATGTCAATTAGGCAACACATGCCAATAATATTAAACCACATACCCCGACAGCCACACATCTGTCTATCGCAACGAATGCATAAGGTATAAATGAGTCTAAACTTATTAGCCAGCTCATATGGTTCTATATGGCAACACATCCATATAATATAAATGCGACATAATTAAACAGTCCATTTATTTCCTGAAATGCACACAGCATAATAATCATGGTTTAAATATCAATTAACAGTATAAACATCCCATAAGATATCATGGATAATTTATCTGACTAAAACCATGGCCTTATTTAATTTAACAGTAATGTTTGATACCATTTAATACAATAATAACACTATTTATATTTAACAATGTCGTTAAATAAGTCACATTAGTATCCGTACTGTGAACGAGCCAATATATGCCTAGAAAAGATTAATCGGTCACAAGAATAAGTAACGGGTGTTAAAATAATAATTTCGTGGCCCGATAAACCCGTAAATACCAACACAGTACCTAAAAATCCAAGTTTAAGGTTCTGGAATTTACAAAACAGGCCCTAGGGGTATTCTGGTAATTTCCAGCAGCTGTAAGGACCCCACACGCGCCCTCACGCGCCTCCCAGAGC